CTGATACTAGTCAAATTGGACAACATGCTACGATGATCACAATAGGAGCTTGTTCTTAACTTCAAGACATTGCGACAAGAAAATGCATCTTCATGACGGAACTGATCAATTATACTGAACTAAAATGAACCATATGAAAAGTATATTGCAAGATATCAGGGACTAAGAACACAACGAGATGCTAGTAACTAGATAAAGCAATCATAGAAATGTGTACAATCAGGATGCACAGTACAAGCAGGGCTTGACACTAAAACATCACATGAATAGATTAATGTCTAAGCTCCGAATCTCAGAACTTTTATCGATGTCAATATATACCAAGAACCCCAAAAGCAAATCATCAATTTTGTAGTACTCACTTGAGAAAGACAATGAGTGCAACTAAAATTCATCAGAGATTATAATTTTCCATGAGCCAGTATGTTTACTGTGACCAATGGATCCAAGCCCAACATCTTCTTGAACTCAGGTACAGACATGAGACATCCATGAAAATATTAACAATGGAATTTCATCGAGCACTTGATTGATTGGAAGTTTGGAACTAAGTCTAGAAAAAAAGAGGGCAAGAAAAAATGCTTAGAGAAGTGCTTACTGTGGGAGAGCTTCGTCTCCTGGCGCACGGGAGGCCAACGGGGTCACAGGAGGCTAGAAACGACGCCCACGGTGACGCGGGAGGCCAGCAGGGTCACGGGGACGGCGTGCGGTAGGCCGGCATGGACGCACGAGGCCGGGAGAGGGCATCGGGCGCCGGCCAACGGGGGGTGCCGGCCGTCGGGTGCGCGTAGGGCCGGAGGGGATGGCAGCGGTCGCGAGGCACGGCGGTGGGCTTCTGCGGCGGCGGCGGCGGTGGGCTTCCGCGGTGGCGTGGTGTGGGAGGGTGTGGGCGGGCGACGCCGGGGCTGGTGTGGGCGGGCGGTGGGCCCAGCCGGGGGGGGTGGGGCGGGACGATGGTGGTGTGGGTGGGTGGGTGGGTGGGGGCGGTGGTGGGTGGTGGGGGGGGTGGCGGGGCGGCAGTGGGGGTGGTGGCGGCGTGGTGTGTTAAGTGTGTTAAGTTTGAGTGTGCGCGTGTGTGTGCGGCCAGGTGCGGGATTGGGGTGGTTACGAGGGAGGTTTGCATAGTGCCCACGATCTAGCACTTGACAAACCCCCGTTTTGTTTTTTTTTAATTTTCAATACCTAAACTACAGGTGTGGGGGGCCTTAAAGATGTTTGCCGAGTGTCCCAGATTTAACACTCGGCAAACCCATCTTTGTCGAGTGCTAGATTAAGGGTACTCGGCAAACCAAGTTTTTTTTCTTCATTTCCCTTCGTATCCTCCTTTTCCTAAACCCTAAAATACTGTGCGTAGGGCAAAGTGTGGGAAGTTTGCCGAGTGTCCCAGGTATGACACTCGGCAAACCACATATTTGCCGAGTGCCAAACCAGGTGCACTCGCCAAACCCACTTTTTTCATTTTCCTTCGTTTCCTTCTTTTTTCATTTGATTTTTCTACCAATATTATTCCATTATAATATAGCAAATCTTAACATGGAGTACCACATGTTGTACGTAGAGAGTAGAAAAAGTTTCAAGGCCAGAAGTGAAAAAAGTTATTATTTCATGCAGTTTGTCGCTCAAATTCAATGTATATCAAGGCCATACGTTCTTGGTCGGGTTTCGTGAACAAGATGTTCAAAATTTCCTTTCATTTCCTGGATAAGGCATCACATGGGACTCAATAACATGAATATCATTTTTCTACTCATTTTATTCTATTATTTGAATCACTTGCGGTTCGAAATTGATTTATACCAAAAACTTCCTTTAAAGGCAATAAATTAATTAAATATAGGAAACAAATCTAGAAATATATCAAATCTTAACATGGAGTACCACATGTTGTATGTGGAGAGTAGAAAAAGTTTCAAGGTCAGGAGTGAAAAAAACTTATTATTTCATGCAGTTGTAGCTCAAATTCAATGTATATCAATTAAAATTCTATAATTGCACTTAACAAATTAAAATTATGGAACAGATCCATAAATTTACCAAAATTACACATGAATCAATCTATGTTCTTTATTGCCTATACAAAAAGTTTTGAAGTCAAACCCCAATTCGATCGTCACTTTGACTCTAAATCTTACCAAATCCTCCTCAACGTTATGATTCTTCTTATGTGATACTTCGGTTTGTAAACATTGTACATGACAGATTATCTGAAACCTTCTCAATTTTTTACCATGGCCTCCACGTATGATATCAAAAGATCTTGACAAATCTCATGATTTTTAGACTTCCTTTGCTTTTTTTAGAATTTAAAAACCATTCGGCCACACGTTCATGGCCGTGTTTCCTGAACAAGATGTTCAAAATTTCTTTTCATGTCCTGGGTAAGGCCTCACATCGGACTCAATAACATGAATATCATTTTCTACTCATTTTATTCTATTATTTGAATCACTTGCAGTTCAAATTTGACTTATACCAAAATATTCCTTGAAATGCAATAAATTAATTAAATATAGCAAACGGATCTAGAAATATACCAAATCTTAACATGGAGTACCACATATTATATGTAGAGAGTAGAAAAAGTTTCAAGGACAGAAGTGAAAAAAAACTTATTATTTCATGCAGTTTGTCGCTCAAATTCAATGTATATCAGTTAAAATTCTATAATTGCACTTAATAAATTAAAATTATTAAACAGATCCAAAAAATTACCAAAATTATACATGAATCAATCTATGTTCTCTATTTCCTATATAAAAAGTTCTGAAGTCAAACCCCAATTCAACCGTCGCTTTGACTCCAAATCTTACCGAATCCTTGTCAATGCTACGATTCTTCTTCTGAGATACCTCGATTTATAAATATCGTACATGACAGATTGTCCAAAACCTTCTCAATTTTATACCATGGCCTCCACATATGGATATCATGAGATCTTGACAAATCTCATGATTTTTAGACTTTCTTTGTTTTTTTTAGAATTTAAAAACCATTCGGCCACACGTTCGTGGTCATGTTAACTGAACAAGATGTTTGAAATTTCTTTTCATTTCCCTGGTATGGCCTCACACCGGACTCAATAACATGAATATCATTTTTCTACTCATTTTATTCTATTATTTGAATCACTTGCAGTTCAAATTTGACTTATACCAAAAAATTCCTTGAAATGCAATAAATTAATTAAATATAGTGAACAGTTCTAGAAATATACCAAATCTTAACATGGAATACCACATGTTGTATGTAGAGAGTAGAAAAAGTTTTAAGGGTAGAAGAGGGAAAAAAGTTTAGGCTTTGCCGAGAGCCAACACAAAACACTCGGCAAAATGATTAATTTGCCGAGTGTCACTAACGGACACTCGGCAAAGTGCTAACGGCAGGGCGCTCAAGCCGGCAGCCATTACACGACCTGGCGCATGTGCTGCTATTTTGCCGAGTGCCTGATGTTTGCCGAGTGTTTCGTTATGATTTGCTGAGTGTTTACTTTAAGGCACTCGGCAAATAGGGTTTTTACCGAGTGCAATATGTTTGCCGAATGTTTTCACGGAGGCACTCGGCATACAACAGGTTTGCTGAGTGCCCGATAGAATGCACTCAGCAAACCCTCAGGCACTCTGCATACCTACTATTTCCGTTAGTGCAGGCGGCACGGCGGCACGACGGGCGACGGCGGAGCCAGATTTGGCTCGTGGGCTGGGAATAAAGATGGCAACGGGCACAGAATGCCCGCATGCCCGCGGGCATGGAACCCGACGGGCAAGGATACGGGCACCACTTCTTGCCCGCGGGCACGGGCGCGGGCACCATCCTGAACCCAAAGGATAGTTCTTCGCGGGCAAAGAAATTTGCTATCCTCGCCCACTTATCCGCCAGACCCGCTCCATAGGTCTGACATGTGGGACCTACAAGCAAATATATGTATATATACACGATTTGCTGTGAATTTGTATCTTCATATCTCTTGTAATGTACTATGGTTTATGTATATGCTCAACCTGCGGGCACACGGGCATGCCCGCGGGCATGAAATGCCTGCGGATGGAGGGCGCGGACGTGGTTTGTTGCCCGTGGCGGGTCGCGGGCGCGGGCGCGGGTGAGAGATTTAGCTGGCGGGCGCGGGCGTAAGAAGGTAGTATCCGTGGGCACCATGCCCGTTGCCATCTTTAGCTGGGAACGGGCTCGCCGGCGGGCTCAAGAATGGGCTCCTCGGTGGGCTCGTGGAATTTTTTTTGTTTTTTTATCAATTAACCGAGGCGGGCGTTCTAAGACACCTGCCTTGGTTAATTCATTAACCGAGGCGGGCGGCAAGACCTAAACATGACCTTTGCACGAAGGCGAATGGTTTGCCTGCCTCGATTAATCTCTTTTGCCCCGTTTCGGTTCAGTTTACAGTAGCAGTGATTCATGTATCATATTTCAATTAATACCGTTTATGACTATGCCCATTATAAAATTATGAGAACTTACATTATCTTTCCATTTACTTTTTGAGAACAATACGTCTGGACCACAAATAGACAAGGTCGATTCGCCACTTAATTCTTTCATGTTGGAATATCAAACATGAAAGTGTTTGCAGTAACTCACGGAAGCCATGGTTCGTTTAGCAGCATGTTCGCTTGTTAGTTTCAGCAAGGACTTATCAGCCAGCCAATAATGTTTTTCTCTCACAATAAACCAGCACCAGCCGGACTTATCAGCCTAGAAATCAACCAGCGAACAGGCCGTAGATTAGTGCTAGCGCAGCAGAATATATGGCTTGAGAGGATATGTAAGCTCGTATCTTTATGCACACAACATAAATTTAATTTAAACATGAATATACACAATTATAAATAGATGCTAAGAATCGGTATCTATATATACAAGTAATGCACATAGATAGTGTAGGACTCCAGCAACTCCATGCATGCATACATTTTGAGCGTCTTTGAATCATATATACTACTCCCACAAGTGCGCAACTAATGGGTCATTGGAAATCCTGCACGGAGCTCTCACTTGAACTGCAACTTGGATGCAAATGTTTGGCCAAACTTCCATCCTTGTGGCACCACCTTTGTGAATTCAATAGTTTGTCCGTCTGTGTCGGTGACTCTAAACGAGAGCATCTGCCCAGTAAGATACGCAAGAGAGTGCCAGTTCGCACCCCAGTTGCGTGCCATTGGTATCCAACTATTGGAGTTGGAGCTCTTGACATCCATTGACTTGATGGAGCCAGCGCCTGCAACATTGGTCACGAGCACGAGATTGAAGTAGTCGTGACCGTTGATTGTGAACCGCACCCCGCCTCGCTTCACACAAGGAACCCTGCAAATTAAAGCAAGCATTTTTACTCAAGATAAGACATTGCATGCATCGTCATGCTTAATTTTGTCAGAACAGTCGAGACTATCTACACTTGATCGGCAATTGAACTCATAAAATATACCTTTTGTACATGACGGGGATGATGCCGCCGGTGTAGACGCCGATCTTCTCAAACGCCGGCTGCGCCAAGTCGAAGTGCGGGCGCTGCTGATTGCACCAACCGCCGTCGGGCAGCGCCGAGTTGGGCGGGCAGAAGTTGGTGGCCGTGACGATCACCGTGACGCCGGGCTTGCAGAACCTCGGGTCGGCTCTCTTGCGGTCGCACGCGATCTTGTAGCACTGCCCGCATGATGCGCCGCCGTTGAAGAGCGGCGTGCTCAGGGCCGCCGTCCGCGTGCCGTAGCCCTGCGAGTAGAGGTTCCCGTACCCGCACGCGCCGCCTGCGAAATATATACAATTTGATGACGTGGTATACAGTTGTCTCTCGATCTGCCTGCTAGCTTTGGGTAATAAACCATGACAAAATAAGAGAGGGCAACTTAATTACCCATGGTGTCAGAGGCATCGGCGCCACCGTAAAACGTGGCATGCGCCTTCAGCCATCCGGCCGGCGTCGGAGACGACGGAGCGCTGGTGGCGGCGTCACCAGCGGCGGCCACGGCCAACATGCAGGCGACTGCGAGCGACACGACTCCAAGAACTCGAGCTGGAGCGGCCATACCCATACTGCTCGGGTTTGTATATGCCTTGAAACTGCACAAAACGTAGCTATATGCCTCACCTCACAGAGCTGGCCGGGATGCTGAGTGCACGAACTGGTTTATTTGTTCTGCTCAAGTGTCTAGATTGATTGTGGTGTGATGATTTGTCCAACGGTCTGGTGGGTATATATATACACGGCCTTACCCTAGCAATCACGAATGGTTAATTAAACAAATTAACAAGTGCATCGATCAAATGAAGCAAGCCGGACCAGAAACTGCACATGGCGATGCATTGCTTACGGTTCAATCCGGAGAGATAAATGTACGCGCGCACGCACACGGATACATTTTAGCCGGTGCTTCAATTTGTTCGCCGTTTCTCTTCTTCGAGTTCAGACTTTCAGAGGGTCGCGTTGCTTGAGCTTCACTTTCTTTGAAGGTGAAGTCAACGGCGGCTTTGCACTTGCTTGCGTGTTCACCATACATACAATTGTCTAAGGAAGGATGTCGTTGGTTTCTTCAATGGCACGAGTTATCCGGGCCTGCACCTGGACAGCACACAGCAGCATCAGCAGCAGCGCCCATCTGTGTGTAAATGAAGTTATAATGATTATCCGCCGGGCTCTTACACCGGCCGTTCCTTGTCACTCAGAAGTTCGATAATGATCCAATACGAGCGTCCGTCCGTGACTTCCGTCCTGACACGCCTCTACAGGAGCGGGCTCCATCTCTCTCAAAAATAAAAAACAAATCCTCACTCCCTCGTATGATTATCTGCTCAGCGCCCGAAGCAGCGTGGCCACTCATTCGTCCACCCCCTTCCCCCACCGCGCCCTCGTCGGGCTGCCGCGCCATGCCCTTCACCCCATCGCCGGCCGCACCGCGCGCCATCGCTCCCAACACCACTCACCTGCATGTCCTAGCCGCCTGCGTCGGTCGCTCCCTCGCTGTCCATCCATCGCCCATCGCTATCAAGCGCGCCGATGACCCCGCCATAGCCACTAGGGTGCACTGTGCCGTGGCGCCTCAAGTCTTCCCCAACCAAACCAAGGGCACCCACGAGTGTGGCCAGTACTGGTGGTGCTCGCTCGCCACCGGATCCTACCCCGACGACCGAAATTGACTTGCCCCGGCCTTTCTCTCCCCTATGTTGTAAATGTATGTTTCAAGTGTTTCAAATATTGCAGATGCATGTTGCAATTGTTACTTATGGATATTGCAAAAGTAGATCGGGATGTTGCACATATTGCATATTTTTTCAAATGTTTTCATTGGTATGTTGCAAGTGTTTTGAAAAAAATGTTTCGTCTATTTGAGATGTATGTTGCAACAAGTGTTTTTATCTAGATATTGCATGTTTCACACACATGTTGCAAGTGTTTTATCTGGACATTGTATATGTGTTCACACACATGTTGCAAGTTTTTTATCTCGATGTTGCATATCTTTCACACATATGTTGCAACAGTATGTTTCAAATGTTTCATCTGTGTCAGATGTATGTTGCATCAAGTGTTTTATGTTGCAAGTGTTTCAAGGGGGCGGTGAGTGATGGGCGCACGACCTAGGCACCGGGGGAGGAGGGCGCAGCAGAGCTGGGGACCGGCAGACAGGGGCGCAACAAGCTAGGGGCGGCTCCCGGGTCCCACCTACATGGAGAGAGAGGGGTCAGGGGAAGGAGCAGGGGCTAGGGTGCACCTACAAGGCGGGGCGAGGCCGTCCATCCAAAAGCGAGGAGCGGCAGGCGCAGCATCGAGGGCAAGGTGCACGTGCGAGTCAGAACGAGGCAACGAAGGCAGGTTGCGCGGGCATCCAAACGTCCGGGCGCTAACCACGCCCCTCGAAGTTTTCCTCCAAAGTCCAAAAGCGAAGGGAAAATGAGAAAATTGGAGCTCTTATACTAAATTGTAGATCAGTTTATTGGGTTCCTTATGGTGCAACCTACTCACCCGCATTCAAGTTCTTGATTTCGCATGGGTGCTCATATTTTTCTAGATATATTCCAGGATTTAATGGTGCTATGCTTTCAATGGTAGGCGACGTCCCCGACGACAGCGATGCGCCTATGATGACTTCGTGAATCTTGAGATCTATCAGCTCAGTCCTTTGGAGGTGCTTATAGGGGTAGGGTTAGCGTACTTGCATTCATAGTGATGAGTGTGCATGCGTGTTGTAAGCGTCTACCGTCGGGTTCATAAACCTGGGTCCCTCGTGGACCGGCTTCCCAGCAAAGGCTCGGCCCGGTAGACAACATTGCAAATGACACACAACTCTTGGGCTGGACCAAGACACCTAAACGACAGGCCAGAAGGACAATCCAATCTCCGACCAGAAGGCCTGGCCGAGGAGGAACGGCGCCCGTTTCTGACTCTAGGCCTGACTCTCCAACCGGAAGGCCTCACGAAGGAGGAACAGCGCTCGCTTCCATCATCGGCCCACCTCCGGACAGCCTCTCCGACTGGAAGGCCTGGCCAAAACACCACTTCCGACTCCGACCCGCTTCTCCGACCGGGAATGCACCGAACCCCTGCTTACAGCTCCTCTCCGACTGGCGCAATCAGAGCCGACTGGGACCAACCGACCGGGGACGCCCGCTCGGTAAGGACTAGGAAACGGATGAAGAAAGTAAGGTAGGGCACTCAAGTCAACCGCAAATACCGAGGACCATACCCTGTACACCTGCAGGATAGTACCCTGCGACCTCCCTGACATGACAGAACCCAAGCAGTGTTGTAGGCACCGACATTTTCCCCTATAGTGTTGTGGGCGCCATCAACTCCCTTACCAGACAAATACGGTAAGGCTCCCCCCACGTGCCTCTGGGCATCAATAGTGTTGTGGGCACCGGCATTTACCACACCAGGCAAACATGGTAAAACCCCCTACGCGCCTCTAGGCATCGACAGTATGGCAAGCACCGACGCCTGCCATACCCGAAGAAGACGACGCAATCTCCCACGTGCATTAAATAGTATTATGGGAGCCTACCATCATCTTGTACCTGTCGGCGTGGGCAACAAGACTTAGTAGCATATGCACTCTCTCCCTCTCACTTATAAGGACATCCCCTTCATCTATAAATGGGGATGCGCTCTCTTCCAAAAGAGGACTCAGTTCATTCAGATCGATCAGCTCACTTACCTTTGATTCACCCTCTATAACTTTAGACACTCTAAAGTTATACCGAGCACACGCTCAAACACTTAGCTCATAGTGGGGCTCCCGTCGCTCTCGGCCCTTCAGACCAAAGTCCGACCGAACCTCTTATACCTCCATCTTTCTCCCTTCCGTTTGTAACCCCACAGCAAACTTCGAGCACATGGGCTCAGGAATAAAGTCACCGACCGACTCAAACTAGACGTAGGGTACATTGTCTGAACCAGTATAAACCCTGTGTCATTGAGTGCTAGGCCACCTCTGATCACAACGTACAGGAAAACTACAAATATTCCGTTGGGAAGACGTTGTACGTTCAACACTTTTTGGTCATCGGATGGCCCACTTTTCCGCCACCTTCGCCTTGGCGGGCTCAAGCGATACGACTCGCTTCGGCTGACTGGAGTTTCCCGTGCTACCAATGTTGGGATGTGGGTTCCACCTGTCTTCAAGCCGTCCTAGGCCTTCCTCTTCTGAAGCCTAGACTTCGTCGCCGACCGGCTCGACGTACTACACCTTCACAAGGAGGCACTTGTTCCGACGCCTGTCGGAGGGGCGCCCTCCATCGGCTCCGGGACGCACGACGACTTCAACGATGAGGTGCCTGTGCTTCATTCCGAGGAAACTCTCTGCTCAAACCCCGCTGTGAGTAATGTATATACTGTTATTTACTATCTCCCGCCGATTATCCAGAGGAACCGTATTGTCCGCACCGCAAACACCGTACGACCGGTTCCCCTGTGGCCTCGAGTCCCCCGCGGATGCGTGCGCTCAGGGGCTCCGAAGGAGGCTGGCGCCGCCCCCACTCACATCCAAATTCGTGGGAGTGGCAAGCTATGCTCCCACCATTTTCCTCGAACTCCTGGATGATGAGGTTGAGAGCGATGGCTCCCGCATCGGCGATGTGGCACCTAGCCACCGTCCGTCCTAGGAGTGCGCTATGGTTGCAGAGTCTGGGTAGACTCACACCCCTCCAGACCCATGTGCGGGGGCCCTCGTGCTTGCGCAAGGGCACACCGAGGAGCTACGACAATGGCGGCAGAACCAGCCGCCGCCTACGCCGACGCACTCGGTGCAGCACGTTGCGCCCCCATGTGCATGACCTGGCGAGCGGCGCTCGGGGTCACGCCCGCTAGGTCCAGCGCGACATCATGAATGAAGGGAACAACCCCCACAGTTCGCTTGCGCTAGCCAGAACATCACCGCTACAGCAATGCTTCTGTGCGGCATTCCTGAGCCCATCGACCCCCAGGAGCGGGCGGTCTACTGGAACCTCCAGACGCTGGTGGAAGCCGCCGCCGTTCAACAAGTGGAAAGCTCCGCAGCGCGACTCCGACTTGTGCCCTTTGTCCCCATTGGGGGAGTGGGGATGCACCAGATGGATCACTCCATCCGCTCACCGCTATAGCCACCAAGCATGGCTCGGGAGGCCACGGCTACGCCGCGGTCCGACCTAGCTCCTATTCCACACCAACCGCCAGCATGCGAACGGCTCGGTCCGCACCAAGATGCTCACAGCGTTATCAACAACCAGCATCAAGCCCGGTATGATGGTGATGTCCTTCAGGCGGCGGCGAGGA